AAATTTGATGAGGTAATGACACAATCATTTGCCGAAAACTTGTTTGAACACTTCTCCAAGCCAACTACCTCTAATTTTGATTTATAGTGTGCTTCGACAGTTTCTGATAAACTGTCTTCATAATCATAGCTCATTTTGCGTATGAAATTTAAGGTAAACGGGTAGTAAGCATGTTGTTTTCCCCCAAACAAAGATGCAGGCGCCGTTGTTATGCAAGTCACGTGGTCCGTGACATAGGCCCGACTGGAAGAGTTGGTACTATAGTACTGCTGCTATACTTAGCATATTTAATGAACTCATTATGTATGCAAATATTCATGTTCTGTATTTTACACCAATATCCATGCACATTTGCTAAGACAAATACAGATATGTGAGGGACCATCAAACTACATAGGTAGTTTTTTTTTTTTTTTTTTTTTTTTTTTTATCATACTTTGATATTTTTAATCACATATATTTATTGCTGTAAACCAATAAAACATTTGTAATTCTAAGGATGCAATAAAGTTATTATTATTATTATTATTATTATTATTAGGTATGTATGACAACAAATTGCAGCAATAAATAGATCGCTTCTAGCATGAGGCTATCGGGTTACATTTCTTCTGAAAGGTCAAAGGTCAGAGATGTCAATCTCCTCCCCTGGCCCCGTCCCAAGCCACCTGTTGATTTTTTTTTCATCCAATCTATATTTAGGTCCTACCACAGTCTCTGTATCAGGTACTGTGGTCCTACCAACGACAAAGACTTTTTCATTTGCATACAATTTGCATATTTAAAATCCATCTGCTGTTCGTAGTAATCGCAGCGGACACTGGGGGCGCTTTTCTTCCGGGTCATGAAAGTGACCTGGAAAAGTACATTCTCTACCGAATGTTATTGCAGCGAGTTAGGTGCCCTCACACCTCCCGTGAACGATTTGCGTAAATACGACACCATACGATTTCTGTTGCTACTGTACCAATGGACGCTGTAACCAACGTATAAACTGCCGTTTCACTTTTCGCTCGGCAAGAAAACGTGAAAACCACATAAAATAATTCACGCCGAATTGGAACAGACTATGCCGACTCTGCAGAAAATGAAGTAAAAAAAATAATATTTTTTTGAAATGACATGCAGTGATTTTTTGAGATGCAGTTTGTGAATTTTCTAGTTGAACTTCAAGACTACCGAGAAAAGAGCGTTTTTGGGTTTACTTGAATTTGAAATGGTTTGGACGTACTACGTATCACATCATATTATAAATTCAAGAGTTTAAGATAAGAAAGGCCATTTCTCACCTTTATGTACTAGTCATAATGCAACTGATTAGTTCATTGAACGAAATCTAATTAAATGACAATACATCAATCAATGTAGCAATTTGCACTAGCAGACCATTCATATGTGTTCATATTTACTGATTTTTGAGTTTATATCTTTTATTTAATTAATATTAACCATAATTAATTTTGAGTTCAACAGTGAAAAAAAATAAAATATTTTTTTTTACCTTCATGATAAGGTCAAAGACAGTAGAAAAATAAAATAAATCATTGAATTAATTCACACACTGACTTTTTTAACATCTGCATTTATACAATTAGGCAGTTAATAGATGCTACAAAATACTGTAAAATACTTTATTTTTGCTTGCAACTAATTTTCACAGAAGGAATTATTCAATGAAAATAAAATCCATAAAATATACCTTTTTTCCTATATTTTTCATTCAACTTTTCAAAAATCAGTGAAAATAAATTTCATACAAAACGTACAAAAGTCATTTCAGTGAAAATTAATTCCAGCTAAAATAAAGTATTTTACAGTAGTATAAATACTGTTATTTCCTTCATTTTTATATACGCTTTGATATCCATACATATTTGTATCATGTTAAAAGAGGGAAGAAAACAAAATAAACATATGGGGGTCACCGTATTCTGTTCGGAGATATTCGATGTACAAAATGTAATGAAAATAGCATGTTTTGTCTTTTTTAGAGCATTTTACTAAATTGTTCCACAATACAGTTTTGCTCAGTGACATGTCGTACAAGGTACTTTTTGATGTTGAGACTTATTAAAAAATAGGCAAATTTTTAGTGGGTTTTCAATTGTAGTCTTTGGAAACTGCTACTAAAATGACATTTTATACATATTAATATTTTATTGTTTTTCTCAAAAAGACAGACTGACAGTTAATCAAAAAAGTTCACATACTATTGGCAAATGCTAAGATGATTCACCGTCCCTTAACCACTCTACACTTAAAGTGTACACTGAACGATAAATTCGTCAAAGATATT